CGACACGCCGGTAGTCCAGTTTTGACATCACTAATGACTCCACTAACTGCTTGTGAACATAGTATGGTGCGAGGTTGCGCAGTTTCCGGAGAACAGCCAATGCTGCATAACAGGATGAAAGAAGTGCAGTCACTTGGTCAGCCCACGTTAGATGTTCGTCCATGTGGACCCCCTGTATCTTAGCTGTGGTGACACGCTCTAGTAGCTTCCTATTGCAGCTCACAGCTGGATAATAATTGTGTAACGCGTGAGCTCGAGACATCTGGTGGGTGGAAGCAAGCATCCACTTTGCTTTAGCTTTATTCAATGCGAGGTTTGATTCAGATGAGTAGTCCCCCAAACGTGAAATTGCATTTATGTCGTCAAAATTTTACTCGATGATAGCGGAATGTAAATTGGTCATATGATGACTGCCGCTTAAAAGCTAGCCAGGCGTGTGTCCGCTAAGTTTAGAAGGTCAATAATGGCGTAAGCTTGTAAATTAGTGTTTTGGATCTTTTTAATATTTTTATTTCATCAAAACTGTTTTTCTTCTTTACTTCTCAACACTTCTTCTCAATACTTGCCAACATGTATGGAGCTATATATTGCTACATTTACCATATTCAATTTTTTTCTAGGAATCAGAACACGAACCCGGTGGTGCGTTGTTAAAGATGACCAAAGTCCCGTTGATGCATCCGCATGTGGGGGACCCCCTGAAGAAACTGAACCATGCAATACTCAACCTTGTCCAGCGAAGTAAGTTTTTTTCCAGAGCCATGGGATATATCACGTGATAAATTTTAAAAATGTTCTTAACCACATCCTTAACCCTAATCGGTCGCCATACTAGTTACATATTCGTTCATGAATCATTTTCATATTTTTTAGGTGGGTGATGAAGTGGACACCGTGTTCAAAAACCTGTGGCAAAGGCAAGCAAGTGCACAGCACAAAGTGCCTTCAAAAAGTTAACGAAACTTTAGTCAGAGAGAGTGACACATGTAAAGATCCTAAACCCAACCCACCCTCCGTCCTTGTTCGGTTCTGCAATGAATACCCATGCCCTCCGCAATGGATTGTGGGAAACTGGTCAAAGGTAAACTTCTTGCTTTAATGACAATTTTATTCTCCTAAGTATGTTTAACAGATAAGTATCTTCAGTGTAGCGGTTCTCTCATTCCAAATGTGCTCGATTTAAATGAATTGAAGGGAGTCAGATCGTATGATAGAAAGCGGAATAATTGTGATGAGTAATTAGTACAACTATGACAAAAGTTGCCAGTAATAAGTAAACATTCGAGGGCACCTCGTGAAAAAAACGTACAAACAAACAAAGGTCCAATTTTAAGAAAATATGCAGGAAAAAATGATGGCATGATGACTGGCATGGTGTTCACTGCTTGTGTTGTTCCTTTGCAGTGTCCTCTGAAGTGCGGAGTTGCGACGATACAGCGAAGTGTCTCTTGCTCTCGAGTCGATGAAGCTGGGAATTGGACTGTCATAGCGGATGTATTTTGTCGGTACCTTGATAAACCTGTTTCAAAAGCCAAGTGCAATGAGGATGATCCTTGCGGACGTGAGTCACCGACAGTTTAGCCCTGTTTAGTTTATGTAAAGACTTTGCAATAGTCCAATCAGTCTGAGGACGCTGGAGGTTTAGAA